ATTTCATTCTCAATTTCTTGATCATCCTAACAATTAACAGTAGTATCTTCTGGCACTTCATGCTATGTAGTCTGGTAGTTGGCAGATGTTTCGGAGGAACATACTGCCTCCCTCTTAACTGTCGAAGAGAAAGCCAAGCAAGTAGCCAGCATGAAACAGGTGGCATACACAATATGAAGGCCGTGTGTTCTTCTGATACTTCGGTGAACGTCTACCAGATTACACTGAGTCACATCTCAGAAGATACTCTTCATAGACAAGCCATGACAAACCTCTAAACCACCTTATTAATTTATGTAACGTACAATGGTAAGGGCATAATTATCCTTGTACTTAATTGCTTAAACACCATGCCATGAAGACGTATGAGGGTGTAGGTACAGCGAAACGGTACTAGATATAGTAGGTGTGTGGTCAGTTTCACGCTTCGGCCGTTATAACCCCGTAAAAAGAGTCCCCACTGTACTGATTAGCTAGGAGGCTGGGGTGAGCCCAAGAACCGGTATGGATGTTGCAGAGGAAAAAGAATCCATTAGCTCTGACAGATTTAAATCTCGTTTCTTTGGCCGTCCAGCCCAGCCTAGTCCTTACGCCGCCCGGGCTTGTTACGATGTAAGTGTCAGTGGTCAAAGTTTTGTCCTTACAGTCCCCGTACCAATTTCCCACAGTCGCCATGTTGTTATTTTCCCAAAACACAGGGTCTACACTTAATAAAAAGTTGCAAATTTCTCAGCCGTCAGCATATAGATTTCATGGCTCATGAATCTTCCACGGCGAATAAACTGTGCTAAAATTTTCTCGGCAGATCAGCCGTGTCAATGTTGAGACAAAAAGCAACGATCCAAAGATCTCCTCTGTATCCATCGTCAGGGTCGATGTGATGAACGACCATGCGTCACTGATGTATGTACCAGTCTGTTAAATCGACGCCTCCGTCTTTACTGGTACCGTTGTCGCTCCCGGCACGAAAGTTTCTATGCATGTATGTTGACGCATCGCTTCTTGTCCACCGTCTCACATGCAAACTTGTGTTAAAATCTCTTTCGCTTTAAAATATTGTTTTTTTGGTATCACTGGTACAGTATATGTTTCGGCCGATATGATCATCAGGTGCTTCGAAAAATTCAATTCAAAACTGCTGCACTAAATACGAGGGTTGGAACTTAATAGTGGCAACACTGCTGTAGAGACGCCATGCAACGGAACCAAATAATGTCGCTTACACCACACGTTAGTTACATATCTACCTTACCTCAGAGCAAATGGACTCTCCCTTCCCGCATCACGCGCATGCGCAGTGACGAGAAGAACAGAGCCTCGTGTTAGCTGGCGGTCTAATGTAGTGTTGTCACGATGTTATCGAAACAGGAAAAACGGAGTTGGATAAAGATTGAATGTGCCAGGGGCCGTACAGTACGACAGTGTCATCAAGGTCTTCAAGAGGCTTGCGGGGAATCTGCATTGCCTTACAGAACAGTGGCAAGGTGGGTAAAAGCCTTCAACGAGGGACGCCAAAAGGTGGCAGACATGCGTCGGCCAAATCGTACGAGCCAAAAATGAGACGCCAATCAAACGAATGGCGTCATTATGGATCACCACGAAAATCAAAAGTTCGTCAGAACCCCAGCCAGTAATGTGAAAGTTATGGTGATTCCCGTGTACGGCTGTGATGGTGTTATCCTAACGCATACCGTTCCCCGGCAGCAGACCGTCAATTCGCAGTGTTGCTGTTCATTTTTGGAACACAACCTGCGACCAGCTTTGAGAAAGAAGCGGCGACACTTTCTGCAGAATCCACCCATCATTTTGCAGGACAATGCTCGGCCGCATGCAGCGCAAGCTGTGGCTGATTTGTTCGATCGATGGGGCTGGGAAGTGCTGTACCATCCACCATACTCCCCGGACTTAAGCCCTTGTGACTTCGACTTGATTCCTAAGATGAACGAACCACTTCGTGGCATTCGCTTCAGAACTGTTCCAGAGATTCTTCAGGCAGTAGACCGCTCCATTCGAACTATCAACACAACAGGCGCTGCTAAAGGTATCCTACGACTTCCACATCGCTGGCGACGGGTTGTACACAATGCTGGTGACTACAGTGAAGGGCAGTTAAACTTCGAAACAAGCATCTATTTTGTATCAGTTGTAAATAAATAGTTGCCACTATTAAAGTTCCAACCCTCGTACAAATCCAAAGTATAGTTCTCGTATGTGCGGGGCACGCGGTAGCGTAGTTGGTTGAGGCACTATGTTACAAGCTGGAAGGTAGCGGTTTCGAGTCCCGATGAGGTAGATTTTCCAATTTACCTAATCCTTCCAGACGCACTATGGCCCTGGGGTCGACTCAGCCTCTAACAGAAATGAGTACCAGGAATCTTCCTGAGGGATACAGGGCGGCCAGCGGGTAAGGCTGACAACCTCACCGCCATCTGTGAGTCGATTGTCTAGATAACGTGGAAGCCTCGACGTCTCACAACCCTATGGGCCTCCACGGCCTATTACAGGGACAGCTTTTTTTTTTTGTGCTCTCGTTCATGCGTTCATGTGTTACTGTACGTTTGTAGTCTTGGGTGATTTCTCTTACGTGTCGTGTGCAGCAGTTATCATGACCATATCCGTCGAAACACGAAGTGCACCAATCGCGTAAAAAATAATTTAAAATCTAGAAAATAGAAATTTTAAGATTTTAACAAGTCTGCATGTGATGTGGTGAACAAGAAGTGGATATAAGTGACGCGCAACAGGATTCTGCAGTACAACATTATGTTGATGCATGAGGAAATGGCACAAGGGTTATGTACAAGTAGATATGTTTTTTTGGGTAAATTTGGAATAAGTGTGTCTACACTTTAAGATTAAGAAATAGAAATGATGAAACGTACCAGAAAGCTTGGGTTTGCGAAGAAGTGTAACAGGCAATAGCTTAGTAATCAGAACGTTAGCGCGACAGCGTAATAACGCTGACATTGAGGAAGAAGCTATATGAAGTGGGTCATAAACACTATGGCAGGAGGAAAACGCTGAGTCGGAGAGGGCGGTAGACTTGAAAGAGCCAACCCCTTTCGATAAACAGCCAATGAGGGGGCCATACAGACCCAAAATCACGTCAGAATGGGAGGGCCAATACACCCCGGAACCAAGAGAGTCAGCAAAAAGAGGGTACATAAACTCTAGAGGAATCAATCAAAAAACTTTTTAATATTATTAATTGATACAGAGTTCAACCGAAGGCCATCGCCGAGAGGGCGATGGCGAGCGCCTGTTTCCTCAGCTCACGTAAGTAGACTTACCTCATATAAGCCATGAACATTAAGGTGATAATATTAAAGTGCAAACCCCAGGGAGAGAAAGTGAAGACTAGATGGACTAGGATGCCCAATATCAGGGTGACAGGATGGGACTAATAAGTGTACTACAGGGTCATAACCAAATGTAATGCGAACCGACAAACGTCGGCAAAGCGTGTATATATTATGTATATAGCGACATAGGTGAATAGAGTAGGATAGAAATGCGCCCCCCTCAAGTGTTACCCTCTACCCTGACGACTCCAGCACCTCCCGAATCTTCGGCGAATTGCGAGTTAAAGCCAGGACCAGTGACGTAAGCGATCGATAAGTTTACTTGAGTATCTTGACAGAACAAGATGGTGGCAGCATACTAAACCGGGTGACAGAGCGGGACACCTCCATGCCCCCTGTCATCACGCGTAACACATGATGTGACAGAAAGTAAACATGTAGGTCTCATTGCATACTCTACGAGTTCATCTGCTAGCAGAACGCCCGGCATCACGTGACAGAAGAGAGTTACAACCACGATAACCACAAATCTCGAACAGTAACGCTGTCAAGAATTCTATCTTCTGTGACATCATGTCGTATAATCCGTTAAAAGGGAACCGACATTTCGGTGGAATATGTCGCTTCCATCTTCAAGGACGAAAATTTGCCAAACAAGAAACCAGCAAGAAGACAGACGAACATGTTCCTCCGAAACGTCAGCTGACTACATGGCGTTATATTCCAAATGATGTAACTCCTCAGAACTNATATATATATATATATATATATACGTTGAATTGTATAAAGGTAAGAAATAAAACGATTTGCTATAACAACTTTATTGTACGTTACTGGAAATACACTTATTTTAAATGTTAACACAAAGAATATCTGTTACATTTTAAGCTTTAGTGATGCAATTATGAAGTTAGAGTTATCTAGGAGTCTTGTTTGTGCTCAATTAATCACAATGCCATGAAGACGTACAGAAAAGTTGAGGTACAGATCCGCACATACTTAATACTGAGAACAGATTAAGGTGAGTACCCAGAATCACGCTGTATCTGCTTTACCCCTAGAGATTGCGCCCTCCTGTACCCATTGGACTTGATTTTGGATGGGCCCCAGAACCCATTTGGATGATATCGAAAAAAGAACGATCTCTTACTCTTGCCGGAAATGAAATCCCCATTTCCCCAATCCCAACCTGTAGCCTAGTCACTAAACTCACTGAGCTATCTGGGTTAAGTATTAATGCAGTTATGGTTTCATAAACTCGAGGCCAGAATACAATTGTACAATATCAAATGGGACTACACCGCCTGGAGAGAAGGGGTACAGTATAAGCGGCAGCTTCAACTTAAAGGCAGATTTTTACGACCCCGAAACACAGCTATATCGTTGGCCTTACTAATTTAGTAACAGAAAGAAACAAAAATAATAAACCAGATACAAATTAGAAGATTGTTGTACTCTAGCATAAAGGGCATGTAGTCCGGTATAATTTTCTGCTTTTTATCAGCTGCTTGCTTTGTTCAATCTTCGCCTTTGAAGATGGAAGCAGTATATTTCTCCGAAATCTCAATAAAATTCTACCAAACCTCACGGCGTTACATTCCATAAGATGCTATTTTTCATAGCCACAGTTGCGATAACTTCAAATCCAACAAGATATAAAATCGACAACAGAGCAGAAAGAGATTAAACTGGCTCACGTCATTTGAAAATCTTCTTAGCATTTCTCAAAGAGAAAGCCGACTGCATTTAGTCGGATCAAACAGAACAGAAGGGAAAGAACTGCATGGTTCAGAGACTCCTGAATACCAGCGTCTATTTCTAGTTCTTATTTTGCATTGCCCATCAAACTTTTCGGAAGCCGGAAATTTCTGTTTGAGAAACGCGCTTTTAAGAATATGTTTTATTTTTACAACTTTATCGATACAAACATAATGGCATTGTTCTGTCCGCTTTATACCAACAATAATTAGACAGCTGGTAGGTAACAAGTCATAATTACTATGAAATGATGTCATTAAAATGCATAAGATCAACTTACATATTTCCTTGACATAAATTTTGGTATGATACTTAAAATTCGCCATTAAATCAGGTATTCCCATGGACACATGAGAGTGGGGGACCAGCGAGGCAACTGTTGTGCTTTGGATTTTCGAAAAAAAAATCATAAGTGAAAGAAAAGACTATACAAAAAAAAAAGATTTCTAAAAGCATGTTCCCTTGTTCTGAATACTATTCGGCGGTCAGTAAAAACAGTTTTAAATGACTTAAAAGTAAGTTTGTTAGTAAAATGTATGGCTCCCCACCAGGACTGCGCCTCCCACGAATATTCCAGTTAGTTTTAAGAGTTCCCCACAAACAGCTACATTCTGAGGAACTTAAAATGTCGTAGGAATCTTTGAAAAAATTTTATTCTAACCTTAACATTGATACCAACCTAACCTATGAATCAGTACGTCCATGACTACCTCTGTATTGTATCTGTCTTCCATATTAATTTGACACCATTTCACATTAATCTGACAGCAAATCACAAAGATATTTCATTTACTGATTCTTGTTTTTCTCAGCGTCGTTAGCTCGGTTGTAAACAGACGGATTATTGTAGTATCTGCCTTGGTAATATCCTTGATCGTTGAACCTGTCATAAGCAGGGTTGTAAGCGGGGTTGTAAGGATTGTAACCTTGGTAACCGGGATAATTCAGATAAGGGTTGGGGTAGTTTGCACGATATCCATTATAATTTCCATACGGATATCTAGTACTGTTATAATATCCCGAATAATATCCAGGGTTGTACGGACCATATGGAGATCCTTCATAATTATTAGGATAACTTCTCCTGTTGTAATATCTGTTGGTGTTGTAGTATCCAGGGTTATAGTAACCTGAGTTGTAGTTGGCGGGGTTGTAGTAACCAGGTTTATATCCCAAGGGATTGTTGTAGTAGTCATAGACACCATTGTAGTAACCATTGTTGTATCTGTAATCTGCTGCTAACAGAATATCTCTATTACAAAACTGAAAAGTATATTTAGTTAACTCCTTAATCTTAATAGTATGCATCCTGTTGTGTGTCATATACCGGATATATAACGTGTATGACGGGGGCAGTCTACAAAACAATATTCGTGAAAAACAAAATAGACACTACTGTATCAACATTTGTTTTGTTTTTCTGTTGACGTTACATGTTTCGGTCTTTATTGTACGCCTGATGATGGCCCAATATAAGGGCTGAAACATGGAGCGTCAACAGAAAACTAAAACAAATGTTGATACAATAGTGTCTATTTCGTTTTTCAGGAATATTATTGTGTAGACTGCCCATATTAGACATAATATATTCCATATAACTCCTTAACTTCCAACCAATATTAAACCTTTAGAGGCTAGTGGTTCTCATATGTACCATCTGCTTTAACTTCATAAAACTGTGTATTCTGTCCAGAGAGCGTACTTATGTGTTTCTTACGATTATAAAAAAAAAAACAGCAATTATTTCTCTACGCAGCGTCAATTTATTAGTACTTTGTGCTGGAGAAGCGGTGCATTTTCAAAGAGGGAGGAAGTGAATTTGTAAATATTATTTAGATAAACTTGAGGTTTAAAACTTCTAAGAAACATTTCCTTGATTTCGTTCTAAATGGCTTAGTTTATTTCCATTGCGCTTGGCCACTTCATGCAGTATTTTATCAAATGTTCGTTTGGAATATCAAAATCAAGCAACGAAGACCAAACTGAATTGTGGCATTGTTTTTAATATTTTAATTTTGTCAGTTATAAAAATGGAGACATATTGGTCAATGTTAGTAATTTCTCAAAGCGTACGTGTTACTCTGCTCATCACCTGCTTTAAAATTATCCAAAAAATGTATTTATGGGTGTCACGCGATTCTCAGAATAAAGAAACAAATCTATATAACATCATTCACTCATTGGTCGTTGTAATAGACACAGAGCCTGTTTTCTCTCGGGCAGGAATTTAATTATTAAATATTACTGAGATGAGTTTTCAAACAAAGGTCAGAAGTCTAAGTTACTGTCACAAAAATTTTTATGAAATTCCTTAAGAAATGTTAACTTGAACCTATCAGAAAATAGCCTCAAATAAAAGATATTTATATCAGAGTTTCTTGGGTGGGGATAATAATTGTCTTCCCATATTCCCGGAAATAAGGGAGGATTTGAAATAAGAAAAGACCGAGCTCACTCTCGTAGCAGTAACGTTACAAACTTGTATTCTGCTGCTGCTTGGTTCAAATCTCGGCCGAGACATTGAATATACGGAATAAGGTCTTTCGTGATTTTCCTCAGACTCTCTGCATAAATGCTAGGATTTCCTCGACTAGGTCATAGCAGCGTTCTTCGAAATCACTTTCTAGTTATAGTCCATCAATCATCCTACCATTCGACACTATACAGAGTGTCCCAGGAGGAAAGTGCAATATGCTGGTAGGTCTTATTCCGAATAGTTTCCGAGATACAGCTATTCCACGGGTACAGCTGCAAAATTGTAGATAAGAAAGAGATATTACCTATTGTTTCTGATACCGGTATTTATTGTTCAAGTGACAAAGTTGGTATAGTTTATCTAGTGTAATACATTTCCGAAAATTCTACTTCAACATCAATGCACTTTGAAACTAGTGTGAGAACATGGCGTGTTGCTCGTCTGTACAGTGTACAGTGTACTGTGCAGTGAAATAGCTCTATCTCGGTGCAACTCGTGTGAGGACATGGCGTGTTGCTCGTCTGTACAGTGTGCAGTGTACTGTAGAGTGAAATAGCTCTATCTCGGTGCAACTCGTGTGAGGACATGGCGTGTTGCTCGTCTGTACAGTGAAATATCTGTATCTCGGAAACCGTTGGGAATAGGACACATGTACACATACACGTTCAGCTTAGAATGTCCGATACTGTGACCTCCCAGAATCCTGACCTTTCATTCGGGACATTCTGCATAATGTAGATACTGATAGAATTTTAAAATGAACCAAAAGAAATCGTTCTCAGAATTAGTGAATTTTTGGACTTCGTCCATTGTCTGCTATTCTAAAGAACACGACGTTTCGGAATTTAGATCTGTTTCCGTCAGCAGGAGAGTGGGCGGGAGACACCCACTCTGTTGACTCTATTAGAAAGAGATAACCTCAATCAGTTCGTTAGAATACAGAACGGTGGACGAACCCCAAACGCAGTAATCCCGCGTGTCGACATTATCAGAACCCTTCAGAAGCTACAGCAGATCTCTCACCTGGTGGAGTGGCTCGCTTGAAGACCTCACGACTCGCGTCCTTCTCCTCTGGCACACCCAGCAAGTCCTCTTCTTCAGAGGCCCTCACGGCTGCCATCAGGAAAAAAGCCACCGCAACCTGCAACACGGTTTAACTGTATCAGCATTTCATATCGGCTGTATAAACATTAAGTGGCCGCGGGGTCTGAGGCTGGGATCGCGGGACATGGATGTCTCTGTGTTTATGCTGTATTTGTGTTGTTTGTGTGTCTTTGCGAAGGGCTGATCCCCAATCTAAGGAGTCCTACCGACTGTGTATAGGATTAAGAAACTGAAAAACGGCCAAGGTCCAACAAAGGGCTGTAGAGCCATAGATAATATAAACATAAACGCACAGTGAGCAAGGCAAGCGGATTTTGTGCCTGCGTGTTTCACGACATCTACACAAGTTCTAAATATAACGGTAAACAGAAAACTGTCCTTGCGCTTAATTACACAGACATGCCATGAAGATTCATGAGGAATTGGTGATGTAAGCCCACGCATATTAACCCCGACACTAGGAGAAGATTGTTAATTAATGATAAGCTGGAAAAGATGTGGAAGGAAGCAGTTATGGTCTAATCACAAAGATCCTCAATGAGGATATTCTGTCACCGATCCATTGAACGTGGGAATCCCAGATACGTGGTTGTATTCCGGGGGGTTTCTGCTGGAATATCTGCCGGGGTAATGTATATCTTGACGGTTGCTTTCGTCAGTCCTTCTATGAGGATTTTGGCGCAATACCTGAACAGCGTCATAGCCGCGTCCTTCCAAATTCCAGTTCGCTAATCATTTCACCACTTGACCACACATAGTGTACATACTGACAGAGCAATAAAAGAGGTAAAGCTATCCCTGTAACAGGTCGTGGAGGTCCATAGAATTGTGATACTTCGAGGCTCCCACATTTTCTAGACAATCGGCTCACAGATGGCGGTGAGGCTGTCAGGCTTACGCGCCGGCTGCGCTATCCCCAGGAAGTTTCCTGGTACACCTTTCTGTTAGAGGCTGAGTCGACCACAGGGCCATAGTGTGGCTGAGAGGATTAGGTCAACTGAAAAATCCAATGGCCTCATCGGGAATCGAATCCGCGACTTTCTGGCTTGTAGAATAGTGCCTTAACCAACTATGCTACCGCGAGCCCCCACCGTAAAACAAAGCACACAGAATACTAGAACTCAGGGCAAGACCCGGCTTCAGGTCAGCTACAGTAGTAAAACTAATTGCATTAATGGGCTATAATATTAATTTCATTATATTTAAATTAATTTTTCTAAAAACCACCAGCTATGCAGTTATGAAATTTGGTCCACATGCAGGCCTTTGTTAAGGGCTGATGGTTACTATCTTCTGGTATGTAACAGAGTAAAGTTCGGTGGAAATTAACCAACGTTTCTGAGGAACATACTGCTTCCATCTTCAGGGTCGAAATGCAAGCTAATTCTTCAGTTGGTTCTTCCTAGCTCCTTAATGGCTTACTCTTGGACCCCGAAAACGGAGGCAGCACGTTCCTCCAAGACATCGGGGAACTGCAAGACTACACGGTGTCACATCCCAGAAGATAATACTCTTCACAGTCACCACTGTAAGATTCTCAAATACAATATTATTGAGAACACTATGCATCTACTGACTTTTGTTTAAATGATTTAATTGCCATTAACATTTCAAAATGATCTTTCTGAAATAGTATTATAAAATATTGTATAAACAAAATGTGGAGATAAATCTCAATTACGTTTGTGCAAAATTTCATAAAACACAACTTTCAGTTATTAGGAAAAGTTAATCTAAATTTGATAATTTCATCATTACGAATATAGGACTTAAATTCCAGTTAGAAGACCAGATTAAACAGTCATTACTGGTTGGGACAAGCTGAATTCATAATAGATCAATAAATTAAATAATTTATAAATTAAATATAATAATATTTAAGTTGTACAACTTGCCAGTTTCATACTGAACATGACTGAGATCAATTACTGCGTCTCCTTGCTGAAGAATAAACCTTCTTTTTATCAGAATGTCTTATTTCCTTCCTATCCGAATTCCAACACCAAACTGCGAAATGCCTGTCACAGCTCCTCGTTTTATATTGCGAATTTCAGCGCCCTGGTGGAGAAACAAAGCAAAGTTCACTAACAAGTAACTCTGTCCTTTTGTAGATTTTTGAGTGATCACTTTTTCTTGCAGTCAGCTCCTCCCAAGATCCTTCAGAAACAGAATAATCATACAAATAACACGTTTATCCCAGCTTATAACCATCTACAAAACGATCTGTTACAGTAACCAATCAAAACGTCTTCTCTTATGCATAAATTTAATTAAAATAATAGCGATTTCCGCTACACAATTGTAGAGTTTGTTATCATATAATGATGTGACGTGCGTGTTAAGATGAAATTATTTTTGACATTGCCTTGTTTAACCTTACAACTAGGATGTAGTGCGCCTTGAGGGAACGGAGACGTCATTTTGTTCGTTTGTGATTCACATTCGTTTAACGCTACAGCAAAGGATCGGTGATTCAATCAGTATGTATGCTGCCTTCCCGATAATGATTGTTAGCTATTATATGTTCTGCCATGCAGCTGAAGTCACAATTATCATCATTATTGTCGCGACTATCGTCACTAATTCGCTGTGGACTTAATTGCATCGGACGGAATTTCCAACTGAACTGAACCTTATTACTTTCATACTATAAACGCTTGCACGTTCCGCCCACAATAAGACACACACGATTCCTACTACAGCAAATTCAGAATATATTTCACGCGAGGGAGGGTCTGAGAATGCTCTTCCTTCAGGAACATACGAGAACAATATTTCATAAAGGTAAAGGTAAAGTTGTCCCTGCACTTAACTAATTAAGCACTACGCCATGGAGGTGTATAGGGGAGCAGATATATAGACCCATATTTTCTTGGTCTCGGTATGAATTGAAGGTCTGGTCAGCTTCACGCCCCGGCCGCTATAGCTCCGGGAAAGAGCCCCCGGTGCCCATTGTATAGGAGGCTGGGTGGACCTCAGAGTAGTTCTGGACGATATGCAAAAGTGCAAATTTTTACCCTACCGGGACTTGAACTTCGACCTCTTGGTCGTCCAGCCTGTAGCTAGTTGCTATACCGACTGAGCTATCCCGGGATCTTGATAAGTGATTATACTTGATTCAATGAGATCTGTTAAACTAATACACTTGTTCTTGAAGCCAAGAGTTGAGTTAACGTTGCGTAAGAGCGGACTATATACACACTACGCCTACTGCAGTAACAATATCCAGCCCCTCAGAGAAGAGGCGTAAATCCATTCGTTAGATAGGGCGGTTCGCCGCACGACTCTTCAAAATTTGTACTTACATCACCTTACAGCAGAATATTTGAGATAATGAGTGACGTCACTCCAGAACCTGCCAATTCGCAGGAGAACATGCATTACACTTGAACTTTAGAAGATAAGTCACGCGCATGAAACAAAACCAACAGCAGATAGCAAGGCCGCTCCATAACTCAGGCGGTTAGTCGCCGGCTTCCCACCGCGGCGTCCCGGGTTACGTCATGTGGGATTTGTGGTGGAGTACAGGTTTTCTTTGAGTACTTCTGTTTCCCCTGCCATTTCTCATTCCACCGACTGGTCCACACTCATCATCTATCATCCGGGGCTGGTGCAATAAACAAATCAATGGCCGACGTACCAAGTAGACTCAGTCTCACCCCACCCCAAGAACCAAAAAAGCAGTAGGTACCAACTGAGGACGTCCATTTTGCTGTACTTCTCACGGCCGTTGCATTACATTTATTTGGGCCCACTTATTCACAGGGAACGGTGGGGCACAGCCACCTCTGTAAGAGCCTCAAATCCTACAAACTTGTTCCCGTGTTTAATTAAGATATATGGAGGAATTGAGGTATAGTTCGACGCATTCATAACCTTGACACTACATGGAGACAAGTGTTGTTTCATGTCCCAGCAACTTTACCCAAACAGAAGTAAGCAATAGGCAATGGATAAAATGGATGAACAGGAAACGGGAAGAGATCTGGAAGGAGGAGGTCATGGCCATATTAAGATACTACACAGTGTGTTATCTGGAGTGGACTGAGGAAAACAACTACTGTTCCTACCGAGATTCACACCGGAAAGTGATTTGTGTTAGTGTTAAGGTGCGGCCACACAGAGCGCTACGTACGCTATGTTCGCTATACGAACAGAAAAATATCTCCCTTTATTGCAAATGTGACTGGCCACACAGAGCGCTACGCTATGTTCCCTATGTTAGCTGCGTCGCAGAGTGTACACAGCGTACGTAGCGTACGTAGCGAACATAGCGTACGTAGCGCTCTGTGTGGCCGAACCTTTACTCCGGCGTGTTCAATAGCACAGATGCAGTGAAGTGGGTTTATATAACAGGAGTTTAGATTGACATTTTCGTACATTTCGGGATGTGAGGCGGAATGAAAAGCGGTTGTCTGTTTTTTGATAAGTATCAGCCGAAACGCCATAGAAGTTGTATCAAGGGCGCTGTTGATATAATCCAATTTTCCGTTCCAAAGACGGCTGAAATGCCCGTTCTCAGAATCGCCTCGTCTTCTACAGACGCTGCACGACGAGGAAATACATCAGAAGAAGAGGTGGAAATAATAGCACTATACATTAAAATCTATTCCGAATTCTGCAGCAAAATTAACTGCATGTAGGATGTACGGCTGAGAACAGGAATGCATGTAGGATGTACGGCTGAGAACAGGAATGCATGTAACATTGTGTTGAGAAAGCCAGAAGAAAATAGACCACTTGGAAGACTTAGATGTAGGCGGAAGGATAATATTAAAATAGATTTTATGGAGATAGCATAAGGTGGTATGGAGCAGACTGATTGGCTCTGGATAGGGACTAGTGCAGGGTTCTTGTGAACACGGTAATGAATCTTCGGGTTCCATAAAATATGCAAAATTTTTAAGTGACTGAGCAACTGGCAGCTTCCCAATAAGGGCTCAGATCCATGGATAAAGTTAGTTCGTTCGCTCGTTAGCAGCTAAATTAATTGCAAACTAAGAACTAAGTTTCCGATTATGCAACATATGAGGTGAATAATTTGCTGCTGCAGGCTGAACGATTGAGGGGTCGGAGTTCGAGTTATGGTAGGGTCAAGAATTTTCTCTACTCTACGCTATTCCATTCAGCTTCCTATCCAATGGGTACCGGGAGTAAAGCGGCCGGGGCATGAAGCTGACCACTCACCTCCGGCTAGTGCCGAGGTCAAGAAAATGTGGATCTATACATCCACTCCCCCCATACGCCTTCATCATGTAGTACTTAATTCGTTGAGCACAGGGACAACTTTAGCCTTTTACTTTTTTACATATATTGTAATAAAGTATAAAAGGTAAAACTATCCCTGTAACAGGCCGTGGAGGCCCATAGGGTTGTGAGATGTTGAGGTACCCAAATTATCTAGACAATCGGCTCACAGATAGCGGTAAGGTTGTCAGCCTTACGCGCCGGCCGCCCTTTACCCCCAGGAATATTCCTGGTATTCATTTCTGTTAGAGGCTGAGTCGACCCCGGGGCCATAGTGCGGCTGGAAGGTTTAGGTAAATTGAAAAATTCACCTCATCGAGATTCGATCCCGCGACCTTCCGGCTTGTGGCATAGTGCCTCACCAACTACGCTACCGCGTTTCCCTTACATATAGTGTAATATAATTAATTAACTGGCTGAGGGAACCAGAAATTTCATGATAAAAGGTATCCTGTCGAAGAATCGAACCAAGCACTCTTGAATGCGAGTCTACAGCTGTGGCAACGCAAATTCGGCAAGTGTCAATTACTTTAGTTGTCTTACATTTATATTTTACATTTCTGGATAATTAAAAGCTTGGCCACTATATTAATTGGTAGTCTCATTAAATTAATGACGCCTACGTTCTACGTTATGCATTGCAAGTTACATGCGGATAGTTACGAAGCAGTGTTTATCCACGAGGGATGACATTCAAATTAAATCCACGATTCTCCAATTAACTAAGATCTCATGCATGACAAGACTGAAACAAATCATGCAATTTCGTAATATGAACAATAACTGGCAGTTAGCATAACTTTGAGAAACAAGTCCGCAACGAAAGCCTAATTGCAGTCTCAAATATAACCTGCGGTTACTACCAGAAAGTCCGAAACACGTTTCGTGGGGTGGGGTGAGACTGAGTCCACTTGATAATCCGGCCAGTATAGGTGGGACGGCCGATTTTGGCCGGTGGATCTCTGATGCGTAGTGGTCTGACGCAAGTCGGCGAGCCTAAGATTGGTGAGCATGCGCAGCGACACTATGTTGCCTCAGTAAGAAGGTAGACGTTGAGCTCGCAGGATCGCTATTATTAGTAGATACTGTGTGCTTTTCCCACGTGCCAGTTGCTTGTTTTTAACTGATATATTTCTTTTAGGGCAGTGACACATTTAAAAAGAAAACAAATGCCAACTTTGCACAGCCAGACAGGAGAGGTTGTAAATAACGTCCATTCATTTATGAAAAGTGAAGCGGCTGCAGGTCATGTATTGATACCGTTAAGAAAGGTATAAGAGAGAGTAGTAAGGTCAACCGGAGTTTCAGAAAGAAGTTTACGGAGAATTCTGAATGAAGGTTCTCGATGTGAAAAAGAAGGCGCTATGTTCGGAACTCCCGGTAAACACCATTATGTACGTAAACGGATAACAAATCCAGATGATTTCGATATATCTGTGATCCGACGGACAGTGTATGATTTCTACACCCAAGAAGAAACTGTGCCTACTGTGAGGAAACTACTTCCAAAACACAGGGAAACCATTATTTTCAAGGGAGGTAGTACCAGCCTGAAATTGATTTTACGGAAGGTGGGTTTTAAATGGAAGGAAACGCGAAATAACAGGGGCGCCTTAATCGAGAGGGACGACATTAGATCGAAGAGAGTATTATATTTGCGTGCAATGAAGAAGTACAGGGAGGAAGGTCGGCCTATAATTTATGAGGACGAGACCTTCATTCACAGCAGTAACACCAGACCTAAAAACTGGGCGGATGACACTCCATCAGGGTACATGGCACCCGTATCGAAGGGGGAGAGGCTGATTATTGTGCAGGCGGGAGGCAGAACCGGCTTCATTCCCGGGTCATTGTTGATATTTA